CCTGCAGCGGTGGCCGCATCTGCGCGTGTGCCCCGAGCCGCGGGGACATGCCTCCTGTCCGCCGTCCCAGTGCCTGCCTCGTCTGCATTCGCCGCTCGGGCTCCAGGCCGGAGGTCGGACAGCCCTGCAGGTTGCTACTGCGGCCTCAGGGGGGCAGTAGAGGCCAGTGGTGGCCGCACCGCCTGGGAATTCCATGGACCGTTTGAGACTCATGCTCTTTCCATGTGCGCTTTAGAAAACAGTTACTGCCCCGAGGGAAAAACGTCCCTGAAACGCGACAGGATCACAGTGACGTAGGACTTATGGTCGAGTTAAGTAGTAACGAGCTAAAACCAAATACAGTTAAGACTTTTTTTTTAAAGCCAGCAGGCGGTGTAGTGGTGACAGTGCTGGTCTCCCACCTGGCTGATGTGGCTCGAGTCCTGGACCTGCAGGCTTGGAAACCACGCTGGGCGCCTGTGTGTGCCTAAATCCCAAGAGGAGACTGGAGGAGAAGGGACTGCAGCGTGGCCATCCCCCCTGGACAGTGCTTCTCACTTTCCTTCCCTGTCTCTCTCTCTGACGAGCACAAAAGCCTAAAGAAAACAAAATGCTTGTAGAAAATGAAGAAGGTAATCCATGTTACATAAGTGTATAATGTATAGACACACACACACACACACACACACACACATATATATATAATCTAGAATACTAAAGTTTGACTACATTTTGGGAAAATGCAAGCAAGAATCTATAGTGAATTTTATTTCAGAGCAAAAGACTTTTGGTAACTTTCGTCTCTGCTTCGTCTGTTCTCTCAGGCCGGCATCTGGAAGGCCCCTGCGTACTGCGATTGTCAGTAAGCGAGCTTGTCAGCAGACCAGGCGGCTGGCCGCTGGCGGGAAGCGTGCAGTCTTCACTAGAAGGGTTAACGATTGTGTTCGTGTTTGAGTGTGTCTCTGATAGAAAAGAAATGGCCTCTAAATGGAATTAGAACAGTGTAAATACCAGTACGTTTCAGTTTAGCCAGCTCTGTGTAAGCAGAGAACCCCTGGAATACGAATGGACACAGGATCCCAAGCTGCAAATTTGCAAGGATTCCTCCTGGCTAATGACACGCACTGTGCTTGACCCTACCCACAGCAGGCACGAGCCCCCTCCTCAGCAAGGCCCCTGGTGGAGACGGTAGGGCATCTTCTTCCAGGGACTGGTGAATGGGGTTGCATCCTGAAGGTCATAAACCTGGAGTCAAGGATGAGCATCGGAGGTGACAGGACAGCTCCGTAAAGGCTGAGACACTCGGATGCTCTTTGTGTGGGTGGTGGGTTCCTTTAAGAGGGTGGAGCGTGGGTAGGCGTGTGTGCAAGTGCATCGGCCACAGAAACAGACACCTCCCGCCCTCCCCATGGAGCTGCCTTCATCAACTGGGCAGACCCCCTTCTCCCCAGCCTCTTCCATCTGCTCTACCCCAGCCCCTCTCACCTTTCCGTGGTTCCTTCTTCCTCTTGGCCTAAGAGAGAGGAGGAATCTTTCAACAATGGGAGGAAAAGCTGTCCTCCCTGCAGGTCCAGCTGCCTGCCCACGCTCACTTCTGCAGGTCAGACCACGGCCAGACCATGGCCAGCTCTCACGTCTGCTGTCGGACCTGCCCTGGAAGGTGAGCGTGCTGCAGGTGGAGGGCCAGCATGTTCCAAGCTGTGGCTGGTTCCAGCAGGTCACCTTTCCTGGAGCAACTGTCCTTTCTCAAGAGGAGAAATGTGCTTGCACGCTGTTGTCAGGGTCTGGGGCATACACACACATGCGCCCACTGTGTATTTCAAGCTGCCAGGGCTGGGATTCACACTGCTGTTGGCCTTGTGGGGTCCAGCTCCCTTAACCACTAGGCCCCAGGGCCAGCCCATCGCTCTACCGTCATCACCACAATTAGACCAAGTCTTTGGGAGAGGTTTTAAAGGAAAAGCAACCCATGGAAAAACACTTGCTCATATATGTTTATTGCACCATTATTCACAATTGCTAGGACATGGAATCACCCCAAATGTCCACAGATGAGCGGGTTGAAAAAATGTGGCACATGCACTCTGGAATACTACTCAGCTATGAAAGGCAGTAAGCCCGTGACATCTGATATAAAGTGGACGAATGTGGAAGATTCAATGCTAAGTGATGCAAGCCAGTTTCTGAGAGAGAGGCACTGTATGTCCCCACTTTATACTGTATGTCTGCACTCTCCAGCAGAAACGGGAAGATTAGAAAGTATACCCGCAAGGAGGCCAAGTGTAGATACGAGAGATAGTATAGTAGGTGGTGGGTTGTAGAAGGTGGGAGGGAGGGGATCAGGGAAAAACAAATGAATAAAACCTTTAGCAGACATGAAAATGAAGTTATCTACTGATGATAAGGTATATGGTAATATCTTTGACTTGACTAATATGCACCATATTCATGCCGGAAAAAACCATGTTATATACTGTAGAGATGTATAGTGAGAAAATGTGAAGAGAAAAGTAAATGAAAAAGAAAGAAATAAAGTAACCTTCAGAGCAAGCAGCCTCCTGGCGTGTGAGGTGCCTCCCTCAGGACTCCGGGTATTGGTCAGGGTGGGCGGCATTGCTTTCAAACTCAGATGTTCTCTCTTTTAAAACATGTCCATGCGTTCTTTGAGAAGTAGGATTAAATTTGAAGTTCAAAAGTTTTCCAGTCAATTGCTTAGAAAGCCCTTCTTTAGAGGTAGCAATTATGACAGCAATTTGCCTCAGGAAAAAGAACATTGTTTAAAAATATTTCACAGCAGATACAATTCTCCTTATTCAGGGAAGCAAGGTTTCCAAAACAGCTAGTTACGAAATGCCCTGACAGTTTTATGTGTTATTCTCGCAATGTAACTTGCCTGAAGGAACGAGAAGACGATCAAATTATTTGTAGAAGGTGGTTTTAGTATTAGATGCATATTTTATTTGAAGCAATTTCTAAGTCTCTATATACAAAAGAATAGACAAATACATACGAAGATGTCAGAATGGCTTTGAATCGACCTGGTGGCTTGGGCCATACCCTGTGTGTGCACACGACAACCTTCGGAGCAAAGAAAAAGCAGATCCCATTTCTTTGTTTCCTGCTTTTAGCAAAACAAAAAGGAATTTGACAGCTGCCATGTTTCCAGTCTCCTGTTTAGAGCTTACGAAACACCTGACAGGCCTTTTGTTGCTCCAACAATTTCCCGAGTCTCACCCTTGTACGCTTTCTCGCCTAACCCGTATGGACAGTTTTAGCTACCCCAAATTCCAAACAGTCTCTGTATGTACAAAATCACATAAGCCACTACCTCCCCATCCTGCCCCCCAAAAAGTGCATGCTCCCCACGAAATGAATAAATCACTTAGTGTTTGGGTACGGTTAGTCTAGAGAAAGCGTCTGGGAAGAATTGTTGAAAGCCCCCACCCACACCCAGCCTGACACGAGGGGGTCGATAACTTGTACTTTTTGTGGTTTTGGAAGCTCAGATGGCTGGTTTCCAAATGAACGGTCCCTCCTCGCTTTGCCTACGGGTAGTTAAATGCAGACACCTGCGGCATGCCCTGGGCAGGCGGGGACTTCCTCCTCCGCTGTCCCTCACCTCTGAGGGGCCTCTTTGCTCGGTGCCAGTGCCCAGTGAGCTCTTGATCTGAAAGAACTATAGAGGCGATCCTCACCTGGCTCTCATGTGTGATCCAAGACAGGTTCCTGGACCTGCAGCTCGGGTGTCCCCAGTCTGGTGTCTCAACCTCCTGGAGGCCCTTGCTCTTCCAGCTGGGATGTGGACCCCACTGAAGGCAGAGGGTTCTGGGGGACGCTGGGTTTCTACGTAAGGCTACATGCAAGCTCGGTGCACCACTCACCCTCTCATATCACACCGCTCCTTCTTAACCTAAGCCTCCCCCTTTTTGACTGGATGTCTCTGTAAGGGCTCCCCCAATCTGCCTGGAGCACAGAGGTTCTCTTAATGTCCCCTGGCCTTCACTTCCAACCCACAGCCACCACCAGGTTCTGTGACCTTGGCATTCTACATGCTGCACTGACATTGCCTTCCCTCGCATCCCTGGCCTCCATCTCTGTGGGGACCAGCCTCGCCCCGACTGACCTTAACCAGGGGTTGTTGTGGGGCCCCCTGCCCTGAATGCTCACCTTCCCAACCAATCCTGTGGCCATGGAACAAGCCCTCTGCACGCTGTCCCGAGCTGCACGCTGCCCCGGGCTGCATGCTGCCCTAGGGCTGCACACTGCCCCGGGCTGCACTCTGTCCCAGGCTGCACGCTGCCCCAGGGCACTCTTTGCTCCCCTTGCTGGAGCGATGCCCTCAAAGTTCCTGGTCATTCAGCCGCACCCCTCCTCCTGCATCCCCCCACCAGCCTTGTGTCTTTTCACGACCCAGCCTTGCCACGTGGGGCCTGTGGCTCTCCCTCCTGTGCCGGAGATGACGGACTCAACTCCCTCCTGTCAGAATCCCCAGCACTCCCAGGGTGCTCACCTGGTCCTGAACGTCTGTGACACCCGCTAACCACTCCCGGAGGCCAGCGCATGCTCTGTCATCACACACGGCTTTTCTTTCCTGGTGAGACCAAAACCCATTCCAAGCACATGCCCAACCCCTCCGCTGGCTTCGTGAGGTGAGAAGTGGTACGGTACACTTTCCTCTCTTTTTCTCTTTTTGATGACCTTACGCAGTGAAGGGAGTTTGCCAGCACTTTGGTGCGTGTGGAGGGAGCCGAGAAGGGGCGACTTCATCAGCACCTTTGGGCCCTGCCTCATGGATGGATGTGTTTAAGATTTACCATGCTTAAGCAGATGCCAAAGGAGTGGCCAATGTCCTCTGAGAGTCACCTCCTTTTTTTTTGCTTTCAGACAGAGATTTTTGCTGCAGGGCATGTGTAAGCACACATGGAGACATGGAGGGAGAGAAAGTGAGAAATCGGCGCCCCCTCCAGGGGGTGGCTACACTGCAACCCCCTCTCCACTTTTCTCTTGGGATTTTGGGCACGCACGCCCAGCCTGAGTTTTAAGCTGTCGGATTGAGAACTCGAACTGCAGTCGGCCCTGTGGGAGTCCAGTGCCTTAACCACTACACCACCTGCTGGCCCGTAACTTTGTTTTTAAGAGAAATGCTCCCACTGCCAGGCTGCGTATTAAAATGGAGTCGTGTGGGCACGCTGGTTCGGGTCACAGGCCGGCAGAGATCTCCTGCTCGCCTGTGGACCGGGTGTAAACCGAGCTCGCCCGCTCAGGGCCCTCCCTCTGGAAGACCAGGCAGCGCTGGCAGAAGCGCTTGGCGATGTGCTTCTGGAAGAACACCGAGAGGTAGTTCCTGAACTTCTCCCCGACCAGGGCGTAGATGACGGGGTTGACGCAGCAGTGGGTCATCCCCAGGGTCTCCGTCACCTGCATGGCCTGGTCCAGCCTGTTGGAGCTGCTGCAGCTGTTGAGGCCGAAGAAGCCCGGGAAGGTGGTCAGGAGGAGGACGAGGTTGTAGGGGGTCCAGAAGAGGAAGTAAACCACCATGATGGCGAAGATGAGCCGCACCGCCTTGTGCCTCTTCTCGTTCCGACAGCGGAGCAGGGTCTTCAGGATTCCCGAGTAGCAGACGACCATGACCAGCAGCGGCAGGACCAGGCCCAGGATGTTCATCTTTAACGCCTGGAAGTTCTTCCAGAAATGAAACTGGCTGGGTGGGAAATGAGGGCTGCATGTGTAACGGACCCCCTCTTTCTGAGATCTGCTGTAGATGATTCCTGGCACAGAGGCCAACACAGCCACCACCCAGGTCACCCCACTCGTCACCACCCCAAAGGTGACCGTCCTGGCCTTGAGAGCAAACACAGCGTGGACGATAGCCAGGTACCTATCGATGGTCAAGAGGACGATGAACAGGACCCCCCCAAAATACCCGATGTGGTAGAGCGCCGTGCAGAGCTTGCACATGGCGTCCCCCAGGGTCCAGTCGCTGGCAGCGTAGTGAGCCCAGAACGGGAGTGTGAAAATTAACAGCAGGTCGGAGATGGCCAGGCCGAGCAGGTAGACGTCAGTCATGCTTTTGAGCTTCTTGCAGTTCACCAGGGTGAGGACGACCAGCATGTTGCCCACGAAGCCGAAGATGAACACCAGCGAGTAGAGCGGGGGCAGCAGCTGGGCCGCCATCTGCTTCACGCCCTCCTTCTGGCAGGGCTCTGATGCCCCGTAATCGTAGTCGGCCGGACTCGTGGCTGGATAATCCATCTCGCTCAACTCTGTGAATGGAGACAGATGACCTTTTACAAAGTCTTAGGGTGTACTTCGTGGCCCACCGTGAGGGCAGACTGGCACATTCGTGGGTTTTCCTCTGATGCCCACACTGCTGCCTCTCACTGAGCTGCCTACCAAAAGCCAAGCAGTGCTCTTTGCCGCAAAACGGGGGGCTTGCTGCTGGCTTCTCTGCTCACCAGACAGAGCACTCAGCTCTGCTGGGGGACATTCAAAACTATCGCCCTAAAGAAAACCTTGCTTTCTATAGCCGCACGGAGGAAACGAAGCTTTGACAGCAGTTGTAGGAAACAGAGCCCAGGCAACCCCGCCTTACTGTCTGCCTCGAAGCCGCTGTCCCCGGAGTGCCCACAAAGGCCAGGCCCCATGAGCAAGCTGGTGATAGCCACCAGGGCTCAAGGGCACCCCTGTGCTGACCCCTGCTGCCAGCTTCAGACTCGCTCATTTAGTCCTCGCGGTGCCCTTGTAAAGAGCATGATACTGTTCCCATGTTCCAGACCAGACCCCAAAGCACAGAGATGAGGAAGTTGCCCAAAGCCACGCAGCTTCGAAGCAACAGGTCTTGAACGCAGGCAGCCTCCGCTCTAACCAGCCCAGACCCTGGCCCTGAGGACTGAAGAGAGCGACCGTCAGCTTCATGCCCCGTGAAGCGAGAGCAGGACTGATGCCCGAGCCCCTCCAGAGAGCCATCAACACCATTGCCAATGGCAGAGCCAGGCGGCCACCTTCACGTTTGCTGCGAGGTTCGTATCTGTGGTTCTTGAGTGGCTACAGCGAAGAGCGCTCACACCAACCCAAGAAGTGACTGAAAGAAAGTGCCTCCTCTACTGCCCTCGGCACATGTGCTGTGTCCACGTGGCTGAGCCGGGGTGACCAGATGACCCGCCCCGTCTTTTACGCCCCATCGCTTCAGCTGGAAGCTGTCTCAAATGAATCCCGATGAGTGCCCAGTCTCTGTTTCTCAGACCAGGCAGCTGAGGGAGTGCCCAGAAACAGCTTCATTTGAAATGCCGAGCCACGAAGACTCAGACACTGAATGGATTGTGGAACTGAGAGACAGGAGGGAAACTTGTCTTGGTTTTCAACTTGATACTAATTGGAATAATTTTTAGGCTTTCTTCTTTTGGGGGACATCTTCAAAAAAGAAAGAGGAAAAGAGAAACAGACTTGGACCCGACTTCTGGGTGGGCACCTGCTGGGGCTTTCATCCCTTGAGCAGAAAGATCATCTCTGGGGCTATTGCAGCCAAGACTCCTCTTTGAAAAGCCTTCTTTTGAGAGGTGGGGGTCATTTGCTTTTGAAAATAATCTTGCCACCTTTAAAGTCTTTCATTTACAGCTATGTTTTGTACCTCTGACGTTATCACAATCTGAAACTCATTCTAAATTCTGACCCTTCTTTATCTGAAAGATCGTATCTTAAGATGGTCTGTGAGCACCGAGGGTTTGCCCAATGTCTGCAGGTTTCCTGTAAAGACTTTTACTCATCACAGAAGCCGAGCTAACGAATCCGCCAAGGAGCCCAGGGGTGACTTACCGGGGAGAGGTTCTCGAAGGGGAACGGATGTCTCAGCTCCTCTGGCCACAGCTGAGCGATGCACCCCAGACCTATAGCAGGCAGAAAAGTAGGAAATGCAGTTTCTTTTGAGAGAGGGCGGAGTTTAGTGAATAAGTATATTGCACACACGCAAAAAAAAAAAAAAAAATCAGAGAGCTCTTCTCCTTTTTTCTTTCCTTTCTTCCCCCCTCCCCCCCTTTTTTTTTGAAAGTCAGGCTTACAGTAAGCTAGAGAATAGAATGTCTAAAGCTTATTCATGACTGTTCCTCATGCGGTTATTTCATTTTTGTTCTCTGCTCATCTAACTGCAGAGAGAAGGACTTAAAGCCATTAGGTGAGATGACAGAGCTGGAAAGACAGCTGATGTCCGTCTAGCCGAAAGCCATCGTAGCACAAGAAATCCCTGTCCGAGAGGCAAAGGATTTGGGTAAGACTGTAGTCCTACCGATAATGAGACAAGGACGAGGAGGTCCCGATTCTCTGCAGTCGTCTCAGTGGAAGTCAGCTCCAACTTGGGGGAGTGCGGCACGCAGCCCTGAGCCGAGCCCTTCTTCTGCCCACGTTCCTCCCACCCCACCCCACAACTCACACACACAGCTTCCCCCCAGTATCGCCTTTTCTCTTTAAAACAACTGATGGCTACAGGGTGTTAGCTCTAGTTTCATCTGCGAGCTGAACTTGTTTTCCGTCTCCCTCTGGACCGGGAGGGGAGCGGGGCAGGTCGTATGTTGGACAGTCATGATGGAGATTCACTCTGCCCCTTCGTGAGCATGCATGAGCCTCCGGTCCACGAGTGTGGGGCTCCTCACTCCACGGGCGTCTGTCTGGAGCTCCGAGGCGTCTTCTACCTGCAAAGGTGAGAGCGGGCCGAGCTGCACAGGCGAGGCGGTACCTGGCAACGCCGCGTGCAGTCATAGGAAGAGCCTGGTGGTGGTGACCTATCTAGAAACCTCAACTACTGACAACAGAAGCTGAGGAAACGGCAGACAGCCACTCGGAGCCACAAAAGCCCCCCGGGCTTCCGTTACCTCAGCTAGACAGTAGGAAGCTTTGGCTCGTCAGGCAAAGGAGACGGTGAGCAATAAAACAGCAGAACTCCAGGTCCCCACATTTGTGGAGGAAGCCTGGCAAAGGACTCAGAGATGCTTCTGTGGTCGGGCTGCCCAAGCCCAAGGCTGGCCCTCCCCTCAGCTCATGTTCCCTGGGCTGGGTAACAGTCGCCGCGTCGCCGCGTCCTGGCTCGGTGGGAGGGTGACAGGAGGTGCCCACGGCCAGCAGTTAGCACAGTATCTGCTCAGTAAACACCGAACTCTCAGACACTCGCTCAGCGACCCTTTACTTCAGAGAGGGTTGATTTTATGAAAGTCGTCCCCTGGGGTCCTCGTCTGGAGCAGATCTGTATCTGCAAACTCGGAGCTGAGAGGGTGAGCTAATGGCTGGGAGAGTGGAGGGAAATGACTCCCTGAGGCCAGGGGGGCACGGGGACAGCCCGGTGGTCAGGAGCGGCCCAGTGCAGGGGCACGTCTGCCCGACGGTGGGGCTCAGTGCCTGGGTGTGCCAACACGGGCAGTGAGCGACTATGGACACACCGTGTCCCCCGGGGGCAGCTCACA